TTCCAAATTGGGTTTGAATTTATTAGTGGACAAAGAAATGATTTCCAGCAGTAAAGTGATGGTCTCTGAGTCTTTCCCCTGAACCAGCAGGTCTCCTGCTGAGGTTGGAGAACACTGGGTCTAGGGCCAGGTGAGCTCCTTGCTCCTCGAAGCCTTGCCTTTCTCCTGACTGTGACTGTGGCAGATTCCCAGGTAGGGCCAGATGAACATCATACGTGGCCCTCGGTGGTACAGGAGGCCCAGGCTAACTGAAGTGGGTACAGAGTAGGCGCTCTCTGTGACTCTGAGTCCTGTTGAGCTGGCACTCGGGAGCTTCTGGCAGTTACAAGTCAGGCCGTGTTCCTGTTGCCTTGTGGTACCTCTGCCAGGCGGAGAAAGAGCAGCAAGTCTTTGTTGTTGTGGGAACCAGGACCTGAGGGACTTGTGGGCTCCCTCTCAGCCACAAAGCCTGAAACGAAAGTGAATTGAGCATTCTCCGTGTGAAAAGAACTTGAGCAGAAAAGTTCAATCTTACTGGCTGTTAAGGCCACCTGGTTTTTCCTGCCAGAATGTGTTTCTGAGTGGTTCACTCTTGGTGAGAAAGGCATTCACCGTGGCAGCCCCCCACTCTGCCTTCTTTCACAGGTTGTCCAGATGGTCTTTGCTTTAGCTTCTGAGTGTAAAGTAGAAATAATAGTATGGATGTGGTGAGGATGGATTGCCCCGATTTTATTTTATTTCCCCAACATTTAACCCAGCATCACGGGGATTCTTTTTGCTGAGTGGATGAAAACTTTATAGCAGGTGAGGGTACTGACAAACCTTATTGGTGTTGACTTGAGGGGACAGTACTCTTGCTGTAAGCGCTGTTGAGTCAGTCAGTTACATGAAAGTGATTTCCCTCAGGGGACGTGACTCAGAATATAGTGATAACAGTCCCTTTTCAGAGTGAGGTTTTACCGTAACCGAGACCTGCCTGCACTTGAGGAATGGCGGTGGTGCCCGCCGTAGGGTGGGGGCTTGACCTGGCAGAGATTAAATGTGATGGCCATGTGCTTTTCCCACATCCTCAGGACCAGCTTTCTGGAGACCCCGTGTGGAGTTTCAGAGGAGGGAGTTTTTTCATGTGCTGAGTAATTATCAAGCACCTGGGTGTGGGGGGGGTACTTCTGAGAGGCTGCAGGAGAGAAGAAGCAGTGGTGACTGCCCTCCAGATGCTTGTTTTCCAGTAAGGGAGAGAGGCAAGTACATGTGACCGCAATGTGGTGCAGAACGTGTAAGGGCTGTAGTCGTCTAGAGCAGAATCGCCCCACAGGAGGAATTAGGGAAGACTATGAATGAAGGAGGTGGGGTTGGAACTCCACCTTGAGAAGTGGATAAGAATTTGGTGGGTAGGGATGGGAGTGGAGAGGCCATTCCAGATGGAGGGAAGAGCAAGAGGAGAAGAGGAAGAGGATGGGTAGGACTTGGGGACTGGTGAGTTTGTCAGAGCTTGGACTACAAGGGGAAGGAGGCCCGACTTGGAGGCCCCTGGATGTCAGTCACTCCAGGACTGTGGAAGACTCTTGCCTTACTATCTTTTAATGTTATATAGTAAGCACCACAACTCTTCCTTTCCCAAATATAGTGGGAACAGTATAAAATCTTTCACAGGGAAACTGAAAGTTCTTGGCAAGTTTTCACTAGGTCATTTCCTGTTGTGTTGGGTCCTCTCTTCCATTCTCTCTCAAGGGAAAAATGCAGTGACTGGTGAGGTAGTTGAGAAGGTCAGATAACATTTTGGCCCCCATGTAGATAGCAGCCTCAGGATACTGTAGAATGTCACCCCTGGTTTGATAGATAAGCTTAAAAACTAGAGATCGAGCCAGCCCTGGTGGCCTAGTGGTTTAGATTCAGGACTGTCACCACCTTGCCCGGGGTTCGTTTCCCGGTCGTGGAACCACACCACCTGTCTGTCAGTTGTCGTACTATGGTGGCGGCTCACATAAAGAACTAAAAAAAAAAAAACAAACTAACAACGAGAATACACAACCAGGCACTGAAGCGTTAAAAAAAAAAAACTGGAGATCAATTAGTCCCACCTCCCCAGTCAAAATAAACTGGGCGTGTTCCTATTATGTGTGTTAAACAATTATGTCTGAATGCTCTACATTATTGATTTGGTTTAATGCTCTTAGGTGTGCTATCTTGTTCTTTGTTCTAAGGCTTTTTTCTGATTGCAAATGCTTAGGCTAAGTTAATATTTCATGAGACTCAATCATAACTTGAGGCTAGAAATTTGATGGAAGCCGTGGCTATTGTTTTTTTTAAAAAATAGACAATTTTGCTGCACTCAGGACCGTTTAGATTAAGAAACACAAACCTCCATTCAAACACAAGTCCCGTCTCGTTTATTTGCCATTCCTATGGTGATGATGAATTTTAACAGGTTTTCTAATTATGTAGGCCATTGCCCTTCAAAGACCATATTAATGAACTCATTTTATTGGTTCAAAGTGATTATTACATCCTACGCACCAATCTAAGAACTTTACAACTGTTAAGTCATTTAATCCTGTTAACAACCTCGTGAAGAAGATAGTCTTATTATTATTCCTATTTTACAGATGTGGAAGTTGAGGCTCAGAGAAGTGAAGTAACTTGTCCAAGGTCACACAGATTGTATCCATTGCCATTTGAGTAGACATTCGAATTAGACATCGTGCTTGATGTCACCTGTGTGAAAAAGGATAAAAAGAACTTGCCTGAGAGGTTCTGCCATGCTGTGCTCTATGGCAGAATCCTGTTCTTGGACCATTTTAATAGAGGCTTATTTTCTACAGTTTATGTCAGTAGTTGTCTTTCAAGAAACTCAGTATTTTAATTGACTGTGTTTGAAAGTGAACAATTTCCGTGTATGTACAACAAGCCCGTTAGCATACCAACGCCCAGCCCTGCATAATTATAATCTTTTTGTGTCGGACGATGTGGCTGTTGGTAGTGGCATTTCCCCAGAAGTATGGCAGTGACTCTACAGTTAATAATAAATGACATTTAGTGACATTTTCTACGTGCCTAGCACACAGGCCTGCTAATCACATTACATGATTATTTTGTTTAATCCTCCCAACAACCCCGTGAGGCAGTCCTATGAATATCTCCTTTCTACAGGTATGGAAACTGAGGCCTAAAGAGGTTTAGTAATGGAGTTCGGGTCACACATCTGGGAAGCAGCAGAGCAGGGATGTGAACCCTGGAAATGTTTCCTGAGCCTCTGGTCTTGACCACTGTGCATGCTGCCTCCCCGTGCCGTGTGGCATACCGCTGGCCCCCGGCCCTCCACCCTGCCGACTGCAGCGTGCTCTCTGGGCTGGCCCGCCCTGCAGTCTGCTGCTGACTCTTGCCAGGGATTAACAGCTGATCTTCATAAATTTCTTGTAGCCGTTCTGCTTCGTGTCTTACTTTATGGGATCCCTCTACTCTCCTTTGCTGTATAGCAAGTATTTGAAGAGTCAGATTTCACTCAGTGTTCTTCCATCATAACCTTACACCCAGCCTGAGTTCAGTGTTGGCTGATTGACTGAACGCCACTCCACCCGGCTAGGGGGTAGCGAGAATACGGCAGAGGTGTGGTTGGAGCAGATGGAGACCTTGACAAAGTAGATCCTGACATTGAATGTGGGAACTGTGTAGATGGGATTTTATGTCCGAGCTGTCACGTGAGCTGCTCATTAGGCACCTTGAGAAGTCTATGCACCTATTTACGATAACTTCTACTCTTACTTTTAGACAATATTTTTTTCTCCATCAAGCATGGTGTCCATTATAGGGTGGATGCTCAGTAAGCATTTGGTGAATGCATTATTGAATGAGGGACTGAACGAATGAATCATTTATTGCTTGGTTCCTTTGATATAATGGCATCCTAACAGGCCCTGGGGATGCTCCTGCCCCTGCTGCTACTTGGGATTATATTTCCTCTGCCTGGCTCTTCCCTCCTTTGTGCCTGGACTCTCCCCCTCTCCCCCTGCTCCCCTCTCCTCCTCTCCCCCTCTTCCCCTCTCCCTCTCTCATATCAGTCCAGGGAGCTGTTGGACAGGTAGTGGCAAGAACTGTTCTTTTAGGTGGTGCTACAGATGGTGGTAGGTTCTATAATTTTAGAATAGAACTGTTCTTTAGGGAAATTAAGGAGCTAAAAAATCAGCTTTCGAGGGATTTGAATTACCATGTATGATATTAATGTAGGAACATGCATTCTGAGTCCTAAACAGACTTTGGGACAACCCACTGGGAACTGCGTATGTTTGAGAAGCTCATATCACACAAGCTCATGCAGTGGAATCTGTTCCACATCTGTTCTCATGACTGAGAATCACTTCTTGACCTGGTTGCTTTATTGAAATGCTGGATTGAAAATACAATGCTAAGGGAAACTGTTCCTGGTACCAGCTGTAGATTCCCGGAGAGTTTTATTTTCCAGTTGGAGTTTATAATTTGCTACATCACGCCAGTGTTGACACAATCCATAATCGTTCTATAAATCAGAATTGGGGTGAGTTTATTATGAGCCAACCCTAAGGACCGTATAGCCCAGAGAGTACCTTCATGAAGGAAGGAAGCACTCCAAAGAAGTATGGTGTACAGAGCGGTTATATACCGACTTGGAACAAAGAGCACACATCACATATGACAGGAGCTCCGCAGGTCAGTGGTCACAAGGTGAACACAGCAGGTCGGTAGTTAATCCTTAGTTTCTAGGAAGAGATGCTTATCCTTAGGGAAATGTCATATGGGGGTAAGTTACATCCATATTTTTAAGGGCATAATTCTTGTCCTTGGGACATTGTAAATGTTTAAAGCAGATGTACAGTGCATGCTCAACAGGCCACATCTTTTGGAAAAAAACAAGGTCAGGCCGAATTAGTTTTAAACCAAATGGCTTCCTCATACACTCCAGTATGTCCCATTGCTTGTCATTTACTCATCACCAGCATCAGGGCAGGCTGTACGTGACATGGTTGTCCTTTCTGTGTCTTTGACAGATGTGTCGTCCCCACACCAGCGAGCCTCTGCCAAGATGAAGCCAATAGAAGAAGGGGTGGAAGATGACGACGAGGTCTTTGAACCTGTGTCTCCAAATACATTTAAAGTCCATCAGTTGCCTTGATCAGAGAGAGGAGTCAAGTTACCAAGATGGAAATTGTCTTGAAAAGATCCTGAAAAATACCAGCACTTTTTCACAGCTTTTCGGTTATTCTGTTTTAGTACATGCAGACTGGTAGAGTCCGAGGGCAGGAAAGTGAGGAAGATTAAACAATGGGAAGGGTATTTTAGCTCTCCTGTTTATTGGTCAGCTTTTCAAGTAATTGTTTTACTGAGCCTTCTGACTAAACCTAGTTCTATTTTGAGATATATTTTTTCACAGAGTTTTCTAGATATATTATCATTTTAAATTTAAAAACTCTTAGTGCTCTGTCACTGCAAATGCTTTCACTTATTTTTCCGAGTTGTGGTTCATTTTCCTCACAGACAATTTTTTCTCCACCGCGGCAATGGGGTTGTCCTTTTGATAGTTTTAACAAACAATGTAAGTTTGAAATTGAGGTTGAGGTAACATTAAAAAGCAGGGAATCTCAGGCTTTCTTCAGTTGATTTTTTGGATGGAAAATTTTAAAGAAAGATGTGATTTGGCTGGAGTATATTTTTCTCCCAGACACGTCAATTACTCCACTAGATCACCTTACTTAGTTGGGCATTGTGTAGATAGCTTGATGACAAACAAAACTCATCAGACTTTGCTCACGTTACCCTTATATTATGCTGATTTATAAACTGGCTGGAAAGCTAACAGATGGAAGTAGTTCTGAGCTCAGTGTTGACCTTCAGCATTCGACTGACTTACCTGTGATTTGGAGCCATCTTGTCCCACACACTCTGGTGTGAGCAACACTTTACTTGGGGTAGGGAGGACGGGAGAGTCAAGTGGCCAAGCAAGTGTCACAGGATGACGTGACTAACCGAGCAGCTTCATTGTTCCGTTGGTGTTCTGAAGTTTCAGATTGTTCCCCCAGAGCCATAGATGTCTCTTTAAAATGTGTGCCAGAGCTGCGAGTGTGGACACAGCTGTGGGGACAGACAGTTCACCACAGGCCATGCCATGGGCACCCAACCTAGATATTGCTGTGGCGGCCTTGGTTCCAGATCTCCCTTTTCTACTAGAATCATGTTTCAGGAAACAGTCGTATTTGGGAAGTGAGAAGGTTGCTTAAATCATCCGTCTCTCTGGTCAGTGTGACTGTGGCACTCAACTGGGTGAAGCCCATTGATTGGCTGTGCTATATCATCCCCCATTGATGTTTATTTTGTTTCATCCTCTAGAACCAACTTTGAGTTAGTCCCCTGTTATATTAAATAGCTAAGAAAAGTTCCAAAGGAAATTATTTTCAGGTGAGCTGAGCCAAAAGCAGCATCTCTTGCGCCAAGAGGTGATTTCTGTTAGAGAAGGTAAATAAGCTACTCTAGGATTACCTCATTTTCTTAAATCCATTTTTGAGCTAATAATTTTAGTAATTTCACTTGAGTTAAATTAACAGAGACTGGGAGTCCAGCTCTTAACATCTTTATCAAATGTTGGCTTATTAACATCACAGTAGAAAGACTGATTTCACTTCACTACAGTAGTGGTCTCTTCAGTTTGCTCAATTAGAAATTTATTTTGGGGAAATGAAGCATAGGTGAATGACTTAGCCTTGGCTTTAAGATTATGGAGATGTATTAGGTTGAACTCTCTCTGTGCCTGAGATCACGTGTGTCACGATAATGTGATGGTGTTAATACTGCTGTCCTTTAACTATTGGAGTAGAGTCATGTAGACCATTTGGTTTACACATGCAGAAGACTAATTTACGAAATCACTCTATAGAGTAATTAGATATTACATCCTTCCCTAAGTAGAAAGTAATTTTAGATGCTGCTGAGGCCATGTTTTTAATGTTCTATGGATCCACAGAACCTTGGGGTTTCCCTCCCCTGACCCATCTTCAGGTTTGTCTCACTTTGTCAGCCTCAGACAGCAGAGAGGGTCATCTCTAATGATCAACCTGGGTGTGTCTGGAGGTTATTTTCTTTCGGCTTGGGAACAAACATTTTTACAAGCACACTGCTAAAACTAGGTGATATAAAATCATTTACGGTTTTTATTAAAATGTGTGTGTGTGCGTTCGTGCACGTGTGCATCATCGGTGTCATTGATAACAAAGATTGTAATCTCAAGATTAGGAATCTTAAAAGAGCCACTTAGCCTGAATAGGAAACATGAAACTATTTTTAAATACACACCTCTAAGGAAGACAACGAGACTCAGAGAAAAGGAGCCACAAGCCGTTGAGTAACCCCCCCACATAGACTTGATAACAAAGAAGCAGATAGGAAAACAGAAAAGAGGTTTAAGTGTTAAGATCTCCTATGGATGACTTTGACTCTAAATTCATTTATACAAATGAAGAAGTGTATCTTTGTATAAGGCATAAATACGTAGACAAAATACATGTTTGCTGCCAAAGCTGCCAATAAGAAGCTTCCTGTGTTTTTGGCATTAACTTAGCTATGTGACCAAGCTCTAGGAAATGGTCTGCAAAAATTATTCTATATATAACCCCAAATCATCTAGGTTCAAATGTAACATCAAGTCTGTTGTATGAATCTAGAGTATAACATTTATACCAGAGTGTATATGTCATTTGTAATATTTTGAAAGTGCTTATAAATATTTATATTTATAAAATAATAGACAACACAGACACTATGTAGATCCTCAATGATGTTTATATATTTTAAATTAGCAATAATGGGTGCTATACCATTATTTTTCAGTTACCATCCTTGGCTTTCTGGGCTCTTCTCTGTTTCTCCCTGTGCTTCAGTGTCACTTGAATTCCTTGGATACCTCTTTGCTTTGCTGCCAACAGTGTGTGCACTAGGAGACGTCACCTTCTTCTTGTCTGGTTTTCTTTCCACGTGTCTGAAGCTTTTCTGATTTTATAACTTGGAGCTGCCTATTCCTGCCTCCCAGGTCCCATCATGGCCCCAAAGACAAAGTCCCTCGGATGCTGGAAAAATCTTTGGGGGAAGTTGATGTAACCTACACATTCTGCCCTGTCCCCAGCACACCCAGGTAATGACTCCGCCCTCCAGTGAAGATTTTCATGCTGTGTGCATTGGTGCCCAGCCGAGCACCTGGCATGTAGGTCCATCCTGACCTGCAGGGCTCGGTGCCCTCCCTGCAGACTCCAGGGTGCAGCTCCAAGGATTCACTGTTATTTTTTTTTTCATCCATTTCCTTGGTCATTTCTTTCTTTTTTTTTTTTTTGTGAGGAAGATCAGCCCTGAGCTAACATCTGTGCTAATCCTCCTCTTTTTGCTGAGGAAGACCTGCTCTGAGCTAACATCTATTGCCAATCCTCCTTTTTTTCTCTCCCCAAAGCCCCAGTAGATAGTTGTATGTCATAGTTGCACATCCTTCTAGTTGCTGTATGTGGGACGCAGCCTCAGCATGGCCGGAGAAGCAGTCCGTCGGTGTGCGCCCGGGATCCAAACCCGGGCCGCCAGCAGCGGAGCGCGCACACTTAACCGCTAAGCCACAGGGCCGGCCCCTTGGTCATTTCTAAAGCTGCTCTGCAGAAACCTCTGACCTTGCCATGCCTCAGTTTCCCCTCCCTTCTCTCTTTCTAACCCTGGTTTCCCAACCTCTTTTTGTAATTATGCCCAACTAGAGTGATTAGAAATTCCCACCTACAATTCAAATTCCCAAGGATTTGAAAGAACAGGATTCTGTGCAGAAAACTGGAGGCTGCGGTGTGATCACAGCTTCAGTTCTGCTCATGGGACAACACGTTTTCTCACTGATGGTAACCATGCTTTGATTGTCACAGAACCCCAAATACCTTGTGTATAACCACATTTTGTGTCATTTGAGTCCTGCTTTTGAGTACTATTTACAGGTTTTTCTGTTATACTTACAACCTAGTTTTAAAGTATATGAGGATTTTATGAATGCTTTATACAGACACATTATTTATAGGAAACTCATTCTTTCCGTTTTTAGGTGCCATTTACATGGATAACATTTACTTTATAATAAATTTACGTTTCATCTGAATAGAGCCTTATGGTTTAAAATATCTTCATATATTGTCATTTGATCAAATAAATTTCTTACTTAGAAAATATGCGTATTTTTTGTTTCATTCCTCTCACATATAGTTGATTTGTTCAGTTACCCTCAGAGGTTATGGGAATTGCCCTGGTTGAGGTAGGCTGAGCAGACCTGCAGAGGGGGTGCTCTTGGGTCAGTTCCTCTTAATTTCAAAGGTCTGCCATCTTGCCATGAAAAGAGAGGGCCACAAGGCAGTGTGGACCGTGTTGACGGGATGGAGCAATTGAGAAGCCTTCAGAGTTTCACTGTGGACGTATATAGATTTCAACTTTTTATTCCACATTATTTGAACATTCCCTTCTAGTTTCATAAGGTTCAACAACACAAGGAGTCACATGAAGGAGGCAAAAAATCTCCCTGGGTCTATTCCGTGGTGGGCAAGAGGGACCAGTCTTTTTATTCTTGGAGAAACCTCATTTCCTTCCATCATCTGTCCTACGTATTGGAATGGGAACTTGAGAGCCCATCTCTTGGCCCTCAGTGGCAGGTCCTTGGCACTTAACAAACTTGCCCCCATCAGCCCCAAGACTAGACCCAAAAGAAAGGGGCATCTTATACGACCATAAAAGGAATTAATTCTGTTGCTCAATAAGCCAGGTCACCTAAGCCTAAAGTCTGGGTTCTGAGCCCTGAACTTCTTGCTGAGCCAGCTTTGGGGCAACTTACCCTTACATAAGCCTGTACTGTGAGACCTAAGAGTTTCCATCTGTGTCCACTTGCTGGTTTTCCATGGATGGATGTGGCTACAGCCCACCATAAGGTATGGACTTGTGGGAGCAGATGGTGGTGAGGGAGAGGGCCATGTCAAAGATCTCTACCTCCAGTTACTAGTGGTCGTTCCCTTGCTAGGGACATGGCAGAGGACCAGGTTTGAGTGGAAAATGATGTCAAGTGGGCAGTTGGATAAATAAATCTGGAACTCAGTAGAGGGGTCTGGGTTGAAGACACAGATCTCTGAGCTGAAGATGGTACTGTGAGCTTGACAGCTTCCCAATACATATAGATTTTTTCTGATAAGGGGTGTTTGTGTGTGTGTGTGTGTGTGTGTGTGTGTGTGTGTGTAATGAATGAATATGACTTTGTGATCTTTTATTTTGAAACATATCAACATTTGGAAGTCTGTATAACTCAGTAAGCCACTATTTTCTAAATCACCAATGCAGGACGTTGCAAAATACTGTATAAGATCCATCCCAAGTGCAGCCTAGACCACTGTAACAGCAGAAAAGGGTCACTGATAGGGTTTTGGATTCCATACTGCAACTAATCTTTAGGAAACTATCCCTTGCTGAGTTTCGTTGTAGTGTCAAGAATACCCTCAATTATCTCTAAACGTTATTAAAATACTCCGTTTTCCAACTACATATCTGTGTGAGGCAAGATTTTCTTGACATACTTGA